CTGGTTGTATGGTCAAGAAAGATCCTTTTTTTTTTTTTTTAATTATTATTTGTTTAATTATAATTTGTTTTGGAAATCCAGTTAATTGATCTCTTGTACAATTGGTGTACCTTGTTTAATTAATTAATTATATTGACAGAGAGTACTGGAGATCTCTGGTATTTTTCTGAATTCAACACATTATTTTTCAGTTTTCAACTTTTTCTTTCTTTAACTGGTTTTAAGCCTGATCTATGCTTTTTTTTTTCTAATTTCCATTTTATAAATTTTCTAGTATTAATTAAATGATTATTAATTAAGTTCACCTTTTTAATGGGATGCAATCACAGGGCATTCCATTACCTGATCATACATATTTAATTTTTTTAATATGAATAATTGTATTTCAATTCTAGTATATATACTCTTTCATTTGAAATTACACTTAAATATCGATGGAAATTTAATTGTATGAGAATTCTCTAGTCGCGCAATATTTATTCGGGATGAATCGATCACGTAGTTTGTTAGTGCCTGAAACTCTCCATCTTGCTCCGATCCCCAATCGCAGAATTCAATAAATCGAAAAAAACAATATTTTAATTAAGTTTGCAATTAGAACATTTAATATATAAATGTTATTGACTTTAATTTTGTGCAGCATGCTAAAGACACTTGAAAGGTACCAAAAGTGCAGTTATGGTTCATTAGAGGTCAATCATCCTGGCAAAGATATTGAGGTAATTTATGATTTTAATGATTTAAGTTTCTCCAAAAAATATTAAAAAAAATAATAATAAGATTGATTAATATCATTTGAGCCAATACAATTCAAATAAGATGGTCATATTTGATTATTTTGTTTTAATTAGTTTGGATTAATATTGTATTGCAGCAAAGCAGCTACAGAGAATACCTAAAACTAAAATCCAAGTACGAGTCTCTCCAACGTTACCAGAGGTACTTCATTTTCTCGTCTCTCGATCTATTTAATTAATTCCGATTTATGATTAATAAATAAAAAAATGCTATTTAATTCGAATGGTTGATTTTTGGAAAACTATAATAAACATTTATTTTCAGACAACTTCTTGGTGATGATTTGGGACCTCTAAACATAAACGACCTCGAGCACATCGAACTTCAATTGGAGTCATCGTTGAAGCACATTCGGTCTACAAGGGTACGTACGTACGTAAATATGCGTATATATATATATATACTCGTATCGAACTTCTTCACCTTTTAATTGTTTGTATCGAACTCGATCCCTTTCGTCACAAATTTTAAATACTTGTTTTATTTACGTTATGTTCAGACACAGGTTATGCTTGATCAACTTTCTGATCTTCAATCAAAGGTATATTTATATATATTAATATATATGTATCTGCATTAATTCAAAATATATATAACAATTAAATATAAATATAATTTATTTTTTTTTGTGACCAAAATAAAAGGAGAAGTTAATGGTGGATGCTAATAAGGCTTTGGAAAGAAAGGTAGCTAGGGTTAATTATCAATATTTTATTTATATTTTTTTTAATGTTGTGATATTTGTTTATTTGGAATTAATTATTTATTTAATTTGGGATTAATAAATATGTGACAGCTAGAAGAAATATATGCTGCAAATCAAATGCAGCAATCCTGGGGGGAGCAAAGCAATGCATACAGCCATCATCATCAGCATGCTCAATCTCAGGGCTTTTTTCAGCCGTTGGATTGCAACTCCACTCTTCAGATTGGGTAAATTAATTAATAAATATTAAAAAAAAATTGCATTATTTATACTATTAATTACATGAATAATAATTAAATTTAATTGAAAAAATAAACAGATATGGTGAGCCAGTGAGTTCAAGCCAGATGACAACACAAGTAACTGATGTCCAAAATGTGAATGGAATGGTACCTGGTTGGATGCTTTGAATTTCATTTAATTTCCATTAATAATAATAATTAAATAAATAAAAAACATCTATATATATATATTATAATATATAAATATTGTATTATTGAAGGGTCTGCTTCCAAATATGAACCTAATTAATAATGGGGAGTGGGAGAAGGGAGAAGTGTATTTTGTTTTGGAGTGTATGTAATGTAATGTGTATGTTTTGACTTTTCAGATTTTGTAATATTCAGACAACAGATAAAAGTCCCACATCGGACTTTTTGTTTTCTTTTGCTCTATTTTTTTTTTATTTATATATAAATAATATTGAATAGGCCCGATTCATTTGGGCCGGGCTGCGCTATTTCAACTTGCAAATAATGGGCTTGGTATACTCAAATTGGATGCTAGATTTATTTACTTGTAGTAAAGAATTTATTTGGGTAAATTTCAAATAATCCTTTGATATATAAATAATAATAATTTATAGGGTAAATTACACCCACACCCCTGAGGTATGCTTAAATAATTTTAAGGTCCCTATGGTATCGATAATTACACTCACCCCCCTGAAACGTAGTTAGAAACTCTAACGGGATAATGCATTTGATACATTATTCCGATAGGGTTCTAATGTACTATTATTTTCAGCTAGTGGTGGAGATAACATAGAGTTATGGGAGTTATATATGGGGTGAAATGGCTCCCAATATTTCTTAAATCACCCATAACTCTTTGTTGTCTTCACCAGTTCCTGAAACCAATAGTCCGTTAGAACTCTATCGTAATAACGTATCCAATGCATGATCCCATTAGAGTTTATAACTACGTTTCAAGGGGGTGAGTGTAATTATCGATACCACAGGGACCTTAAAGTTATTTAAGCATACTTCAGGGGTGTGGGTGTAATTTACCCTAATTTATATATGTTCAAAAATCCATGAATAATTAATATACATCTAGTGTAGTTTCCGTCTCTCGTATGATTTGCAAACTATTATACGAGAGAGTGTAGGTTTACCCAATGTACAACCGTTTGGCTGTAAGTTCCTTTATTAAAAAAAAAAATTGCAATAAAATTCCAAGTTGATTTTTATATTACAATTCAATTTGATAATTCTAAGTTGTTGAATTTTATTGTCAATTTGGATGAGAAGGTCAATTTTGATTAATAGATTGAAATAATTTGGAAAGAGTATAAATATTAATTTTATTCCTAAAATAATTTCTCAAAAACACAAATATTAGTGTGCTAGCCATAAAGCATGACAAATAGTTTCTATAATTAGACCAAAACCCTAAATAGTAAAGTGATGCCTTGTTTAGCCAATCAGCAGCTTAGATCATGAAATTAGCCACTATCCACGTCATTCATTATCTCTAATAAAATACAATATCCTAATAATTAAATAATGATTATGAGAATACTGACTGTCTAGGGCCAGCATTCTTCCGATGGGCACTTTCGTCATTTCAAAAAAGCACTTTAGGATTTTAATTTAATAATTGTCTCCTTTCAAAAAAATATTTTTAATTATTCGTATTTGATTTAAATAATTAAGGTTATTTTAGTCTTTTTACTGTGTTAACCCCATCTTAAAACTGGGAAAACCTACATTATAAAGGATTCATAGGCCATTAGTTTCGTGGTACTATTAACTAATATTTAATCCTAATTTTAATTAATCCTAATATTTAATCCTAGTTATGCATGGTCCCCATGATTCTCACTTGGGGTAATTACTTTTGTGATTAAGTGAAAAAGATTATAAAATAATTAATGACACTTGGTTCAAGTCTCAAATTGGACCACTGGGGCAATAGATAAAAACAATTAGGTTTACCAGCTCAAGCTGTACGAAATTGAAATACTTTATAATTTAATTTCGCAATTACCTAAGACGAAAACGAGTTAATTATATTCGTTACTTCTTTCTAATTTCTCCTTTTCGTTAAACGAATGGACCACTAATCCAATTGTGTAAAAAAAAACACTAGGATGAAATTACTTTAGTGTGTCATGCGGCTCTTGAGTGAAGCGTTTAGCTAAATCGTCCATTTTTTACCTAATCAGTGACGGAGTCAGCATAGAATCGGGGGTCATCGTCCCCTTTCGAAAAGAAATTAAATCACGTATAAATGTGTGCTCTTCTACTTGACGACAACACTTCAAATAATCTTCAATAATATATGAATATATATATATATATATATATACTTCACCAATGAACAGCAAGTAATAATTAGATTAATTTGGGTCACAATCAGAAAATAAAACTAATGTACTATGGCTAGTGAAATATCACTTCAAGGCCCAGTTCCCCAATTACACGTGTCAAACTTCTACAGCTCCAGGAAATAGTAAGATGTGGAGAATAAACGGTCTACGTAGATTAATTACATAAACATATATTTAATTAATTAATTTTTTAATTAATTTTTTTGGTACTACTTCAGCTTATTGTATGTCGAAATTTTATATTGTATTAAGTAGTAATTAACTCGATTATTTACCGTTTGAATATTTTTATTTTAGGACAACCAATTTTTTTTATCTACTTTTGAATTGTTATGACAACCACTTAAAATAGTTTATTTAATTCTACCTTTGGCCGCGACAGATATTATTTTTCACCGAATTTCAGCCACATAAAAAAATACTAAAAAATATAAAAAAATGGCGCCGTCGCCACAACTATAAGAAGAATACAAATTAAGATTTGACTATTATAAATTTATAATACCTAATTAATAATTAGTAATTAATAAATAAGTTGAATGTGCAATGGATTAGGGACCTACTTTTGTTGCCTTTAGTTCGTCGAACGTACGAATTGTCGAATTATTACAAAAATAAACAGTGGCGGAAAACATTAACACCAACGACTACAGTACTACGCCACCTTTGAACCAATCAGCATTTGACAGCATACCCCCCTCCCCACCCACCCACCCCCTGATTCACATATATTTATGTACACACATATATAATATATATATATATACACTACAAAAACACAAAGAGAGAAAAGAACATATGCTTTTTAATTAACAGACACATATATATCACTCGAAACTTCACCAACAAAGAAGGAACCACCATCTACACTTATCATTTCTTGTTCTTCTGTCTCTGTGTGTGTGTGTGTGTGTTTTCTCATGTGAAGACACCAAACAGAACCCTAATTTCATTTCCAAGATTTTAGGGTTTTGTTACCGGCCACAAATATATATATATATATATGTATACATACATATAGAAGCAAAAGATTTCAAATTTTTGATTTCTTGATATAAGTAGTAGTAGTAATGGGTCGAGGTAGGGTTGAGTTGAAGCGGATCGAGAACAAGATAAGCAGACAAGTGACGTTTTCGAAGAGGAGGTCTGGTTTGTCTAAAAAGGCTAAAGAGATCTCTGTGCTTTGTGATGCTGAGGTTGCTTTGATTGTTTTTTCCACCAAAGGCAAGCTCTTTGAGTTTTCTTCTGATTCTAGGTCTGTAATTTCCATCTCTCTCTCTCTCTCTCTCTCTCTCTCTCTCTCTCTCTCTCTCATGATCAAGAACATCAATTTTTTTTATAAAGATTAATGAGGGGAATTTTATGTGGCGACCTTGTTTTAGTGAAAAAGCTTGAGTCTTTGGTTTTTCTTTCCTGCTTCAAATGAAATGTTTTTTTATTTTTTTTATTTTATGGTGCTTTATACTTAAGAATTATGCTATTTTTTTAAATCTTGTACTGAACATATGAATTGATGTTATGAATTTGTCCTTAATAATTAGTTTGTGTGTACCTATTAGTGTAGACTATATATATGTATGGACCAAGTTGGTGACTTAGTTTTTGTTTGAGGGAACAGTTTCAAAAGTGGACATTAAAATAAATATATAAAAGAAATAAAAAAATAAAAAGAAAAACCCTTTGATCTTTGGAGATGTATAAAAGCAGTTTGTATTTGTTCAACAAATTAATAATTTGAGAGTTTAATTTGAGTATGAATTAATCCAATTTTTTTTGGGTTTGTGAATCGGGTGACCAAAGTGAATCCTGTCGGAATTCATAAAGACTTCATTTTTATTTTTGGGTTTTCATTATTCCTCTTTTTAATGCAGTGATGATGACTCATCATTTGTTTGTGCTTAGTGATTTTCATTATTCAGTAGAAATAAATGTGATTTATGTTATTATATATATAAATATATAGTAATGATAATAATAATAACTATATACCTAAGAAGTAATGTCTGAGAAGAGTAGCAAATGCATCTATTTGAGGTTGTCTGCTAAGCTAGTTCAGTTAGTGGTTACGTTTTAGTAGCGTTTATTGAACGTGTCAAATGGATCGATGGTTCTTTCTCTACGCGTTTTGACGTATATATTTCATTTCATATTTAATTTTTTTGCTTTGATATTTCAGCATGGGAAGAATTCTTGAAAGATATGAACAATCCACCTACTCTCAGAAAAAAATCGGCACCAATTACGAACCCAAGGTTTGCATAAACTCGTACTTTTAGATCATATTCGTTCAACAATGATCGATGAGGATGCTCGTTTACCTAATTGATTCTTTGGTTTATTACGATGTAGGAAAATCTGTCCCTTGAATACCCAAAACTCGTCGCTCGTATTGAACTTCTACAAAGAAATATGAGGTACCGAAAGTTTCTAGAATTAGTATTCTTTTTCAATTTTTGTATTTGTGGGTCGAACTCTTCGAAGTAGCGTATTTTCTATGAATTAATGGTGTATTATTTGTAGGAACTATGAGGGAGAGGAACTGGACCCACTCAACTTGAGAGAGCTTCAGAGTTTGGAGCAACAGCTCGACACCGCTCTTAAGCGAATTCGAACGAAGAAGGTAATTAATTAATTTACCTAATAAAAAGTCTTTTTTCGTTAAGTGCTATAAAGTTGCTTATTTAGCATATCATATTCGTAATGGATCTTTCTTATGTTACTCGAAAAAAAAACAGAATCAAGTCATGCACGAGTCCGTTTCTCAGCTTCAGAAAAAGGTAACTCCGATCCTATTATTCTTGTCGTATGATTTCATTTTGCAATACGCGGGAATCGAATTATTTTAGATATTGAATTTTTTTTTTTATTATGTCCATTAATCTTGCAATTTTTGCAGTTATATGTATGTGACTGTGTGTATAAATTAAATGTTTAAAAAGCTACCTAGTTTGATTTTTGATTTTAACTACAATTATGACATATGATTGATTGTAAGAATATGAGAATCTGACATGTGATTCTTGAAATTCATGACAGGAGAGATCACTGCAGGATCAGAACAACATATTAGCAAAGCAGGTAATGTTAAATTTAAATTTAAATTAGATTATTTTCCTTCCTTTATAATAATTTATTTTGAAAAAAATAATCTATTTTAAAAAATAAAAAAAAAAATGTGGAAACAGGTGAAGGAAAAGGAGAAGCAGGAGCAAATTGGGGAGATCACACAGCAGGAACATAGGATTCCTTCCTTAACTATTGGGTACCGTTTCTTCTGTTACTTTTTCGATTTATATTCGTTATCTGATAATTTATCGAATCTTAATTTTAGCTGTAATCCTGTTGTAGCAACTAATTTTTCGAATTTTTGCAGTGGCGGGTGCCAGCAAGAAGAAGAGGATGGCAATCGTACTCGTCTGAAAGAATCTCACGCCGTCATTCCACCGTGGCTCCTCCCCAGATGATGAAAACTCCGGTGACGAGTTTATTATCCTACGTATTACAGTTGAATAATTGGTATTTTGTATTGTAAAATCTTGGGAATGCAGAAATTAGTACGTTTTTGCACAGGTAAAAAAAATACTGGGAGCTGATTTAATTTATACAAGGCTAGTATTGTACATAAGTATTTACCAGAATTAAGAATGTCAGGCTGGTATTTGTACAAGGTTTAATTTACAGACAGTACATACTTATTTTCCTACAATTGACTAACAAATGCTTTAATATTTTTAAATTGCGACGAGAAGAAAACGAAAATCGAAACAATGGGTGAAACTTGGCCGAAGCTGAATTCAAGCACCAAACTCAGTCTCGTTGTAGCTGTGGATGTGATCCCCACCGTTGATCATATGCTCCCTACATAATCGGAAAATAATCAAGATTCGTTTATCACTGCAATAATAACTGCATAACAATATATAAAAGCAAAAAAAAAATCCCACTTTATTACTACCTTAATCTTTCACAAAGCCGAGCCAAAGCATCCGATCCAGTTCTCGAGGCAACATCCTCAATTTCCGACGCATTCGAAAGATTCAAATTATTCGCTAATGTAAACTCACACAGCTCCTTCAACGAGTAAGCATCCGTTAGTACGGCCGAATGGCCGCCTCCAGCAGCTAACTTCCTTACTTCCCCAACACACCTACCCGAAAAAAGAAGCTTCCGTTAAAAAAAATAATTAAAAAAAAAAAAAAAAGTTAATTTATAATTTATATACACAAAAAAACATACCAATCAACCGGAGAAGGATACCACGCATAAGTAGACTTCTCGTTAGCTGCCTGGCCATAGCTATTATAACCCCACCCGTATATTCTCCCTTCCTTGGTGCAAATTAGTGTGTGAGAATGACCACAGGTAACTAACTGCACACCGTTCGGAATCACCAAAACGGGTATATTCCGAAGCATCGGGTCGGATCCGGATCCATTTGCTCTACAAGAAAAGAATCCAGTTTGTGGGCCCAGACCCAACTGCCCCGACTGACTTCCGCCCCACCCATATAGAGCTCCTTTTTCAGTCAAAGCACATGTGTGCACACCACCACATGCCACCTCTTTTATAACTATACCGTCGAGAGCAACCACACGCCTAGGCAAAATCTCTTTATCGCCCGATTGAAGCGAACAGTGACCGAGTTGACCGGAGCTCCCGAGTCCCCACGTATAGCTGCATGCAGTAGATTTTGAAATAATCAAAGCTGTGAGGTATGAGTTTTTTTTTTTTTTTCGGTCAAGATTTTCGGTGCAGTTTGACTTACACTTCGCCGTCATCCGATACAGCTGCAGTGTGGTACTCTCCGCATGACACCTGGATAATTTTCACGAGCTCGGGCGATTCGTCGAGGAATCGAGCGTACCCTTTAATAAGACGGGCCCGCTGAAGGCCTTCGCAGGTAATACCTCTGCCGAGCTGGCCATACTCGTTATAGCCTGATTTTACCATATCGGTGACAAATTACTAATTAATTGATAAATAAATAAATAAACAAAATTCGAGTATATTGAGTTTCGGCAAACATTACCCCATGCTTGTAGCAAACCGTCTTCTGACAGAGCAACTACATGAACGGCCCCACACGAGACTTGCCGAACGACCTGGAATTAGCGGGAACACGTAATAAAAGAATCATCATAATCGTACGAGAACACAAATTACGCACATTACGATTTACCATAAGTTCAAGGTATATATATCAAGTGAAGCATCCTAAATGTATCCTAAATGTGAAAGAGAGATCGATACCGTGTTCTCGGTGAATGCTCCCCAATATAAGCGCGGATAATTAGAACCCTAATAAAAACACCAAAATTAAATATCTCATAACATTAAATTAAACACGGAGAAACCAAAAAAGAAAAAAACGATTCATTCTTAATCGGTACTTGAGATACCTGATTCTGCCCCCAAACCCATAATCTCCTCGTCGATATCGATCCATCGTTCTCACGGGATTCTGCAATGGCTGCAGTGCAGTGGGCCCCACAAGAAACAGAGATCACGAATTCGGACTGTAACCGCTTCACTTTCTTCGGGTATTTTTTGCCCCTCTCAGTACCATCACCAAGCTGCCCATATTCATTTGCCCCTGTATTCAAAGTTTCAAACACGTGGAAAACATTTCTCAAAACCCTTTTCCATTCAATTTACAGAAATGCCATCATTAAATCAACAAAGAAGGAACATAATTGAGATTGAAATAGAGGAGGAAGAACAATTTTTTTTTTAAAATAATATAAAAACAATACCCCATGTGAAGAGCGAGCCATCGGAGGCGACGGCAGCGGTGTGTTCGCGCCCGCAAGCTATATCAAGCCACCGCAAGTTCCCGCCGGCGGCGGGACAACCGAAGAGGTCGGTCGGCAGCTGCCTCGGGATACGCAAATTACCATCTTTACCCCTACGACCCGTTTGACCCGAGTGATTGTAGCCCCACGAGTATATCACGCTCTTCGTCCGGATGCTCGCCCGTTTGGGTTCCCCCAATATCTCGTCAATCTCCATTTCTGCTAAACCAATTATCAATAAATTTATCACAACAGATAACCGGAGAGAAAAATTGAGGGGTGGGCTGGTTGGAATTTGATTGCTTATCGTATCAATTTTAAGGAAGAGTAGTAGTTAATTATAGTCGTTGCCCTAGGAGGAGGAATTTAGGTTGATTATCTATCAGGCGAAAAATTAGGGTGTCAATTGCTCCGAAGAGCTTGGGGGAAACGACGAACCAGGCGCGTGTCCAGATTCTGCCACCTCCGCAGATATATTCGGACACAGTAAATAAATATTTATAATTTGATCCCTAAGGTAAGGCCAAATTATAGAAAGCCCCTCATATTTTGGTAATTATAATCACTTATCAGTTATGAATTTTCTTATTGGTCCACCTTATAGTGTCAAATTTTCTTCTAAATTATGTGCAATATTCTTCAATTTGTACCAGTTTAACCTCATTCAAGCTCCACATTATACAACAAGAAGATCATAAAATGCTTCTATTGACTTAATATCAGATTGTGGTGCATTTGAAACAAAGTTTTTTGACAAAACGAGTACAAACTAGAAGATTATATCGACTTTGAAAACATAAAGATAGATATAGTTGTACTTACCAAACAAAAGAAGTTTTTTGTTAATTTCACGTTGCCTCAATGAGGAAGCCATAATTTTCAAATAATAGAAAGTGTGCCAAAAAGCAAGAAACACAACGTGTGATTTGACACTATTGCCCCTAACGCGTGGTTGGTCGCTTAAGAAGATTCCGTTCACACCTACACAGTGTGCGCGGTGCGCCAAAGTCAACCATTGGGTGATCGAGTAAAAAGCTTTCATGCGTTTGAGCTCTCTCAACAACTTTCAGATTTCCAGGTTAGTTTTTTTTTTTTCTTTTTTTTTCCTTCTTAGTTCTTAAATTCAAAACCCTAATCTGAAAATTTCTGCTTATTGGATATATTTCTCACACCTGTTCAATTTCATTAATTCGTATAATTTTTTTTTTATTCTACTCTGTTTCTTGGATCCTGCGCTTGTTTTTTTATCATTCGAATCGTCGAAAACCACAGAACCCATCTCATAAAACATGTTTCTTTAATCTGTCTGGGTTAGAATTTTCGGATCATCTTATTTTTATTTTTTTTTTAATTATATTATTCGTGGATTTTATTGTTAGATAGATTAAATTTAAAATCCGCAATGAGTAGCAGCAGTGGGAAGAAACTCATTCAAATTGATGTCACCGCCGACACAGTTTGCCCGTGGTGCTTCGTCGGTAAAAAGAATCTCGACAAAGCCATAGCTCAATCCGACACTAAATACGATTTCCAGGTCCAAATTTTACATCCTTTCAATCGTACGGTTTTCGGGTTTTCCATGGTAATTAATTTGTGTCTGAATTATTCGAGATGCAGATCAAATGGCATCCGTATATGCTAAACCCTACCGCGCCAAAGGAAGGCGTGGTTAAGAAGGACTATTACCTTAATAGGTTCGGGCCTCGATCGATTCAAATGGAAGCTCGAATGACCGAGGTTCTTGTTTTTTATCCTTTTGCCTTAAAATAGTAAAAAGGAAAAAAAAAAACCGTGTCGTAATTATTGATGCGCGGTATATGTAGTTTAGTATCGTGTTTTGATTTTGCAGATGTTTAAGGGTCTTGGCATGGATTACGACACTTCCGGGCTTACGTAAGTTAGATTGTAGTAGTCGAATTAATAATAAATTAATAAGAATCGGCAAATTGCTTATTTTTGTCCGATAATGCAGTGGAAATACTCTGGATAGCCATCGGCTGATATATTTTGCCGGGACGCAAGGGCTCGATAAGCAGCATAAGCTTGCTGAAGAGCTTTGCCTCGGCTACTTCACTCAGGGGAAGTATATAGGTGACAGGTCAGCGAGTAACTAACTAGAGATGGTTTTTTTTTCTTCTTTTTTTTCGATTAGCTATTACTCGATTGATTTCTATCGTATTCGTGTTTTTGCATCCGAAGGGTATTTCTGGTAGAAGCTGCCAAAAAGGTCGGAGTAGAAGGAGCAGCTGAGTTTCTTGAAAATCCCAACAACGGGTTGAAGGAGGTATATATAGCATTCGGGCATTTCTTGAAATTACACGAGTATCTTGATTATTTTCCGTGACGAATCCAACTTTTTTTTGCTTTCGTTTTAAGGTTAACGAGGATCTGAAAAAACATTCGGCACAAATTAGTGGAGTCCCGCATTATGTGGTGAGTCATGCTTTGATTTAATCGAGCACGTGCATGTTCGAATTAGCTTTTAATCGTATCATGCACAATAGATGATATTAATTTTACAATGAAATATACGACGCAGATAAACGGGAAGTATCAGCTGAGCGGTGGTCAACCACCTGAGAACTTCCTAAAAACTTTTAAAGCTGCCGCGAGTGATTAGTACCTAAGATTCTCCGAGAAAAAAAGATCGATTCCTTTTCTTGCTGTAATAATATTGTGTTTGACTGGTTTGAAATTCTCTGTGTGTGGTCTTTATTCATATGTTCATGAATTTCTCATTAATAGCAAACAAATAAAACATGGTGATCAATGTATGTATTTGCTGCTACAATATATGTATACCTAATTACAATCTTGTACTGCTGTTGTTGTTTCGATTAGAACAGAGGTTCGTCGACTTCAGTTACTCCGAAGCTACTCAATATAAAACTTTCGTCACTATTAAGACTAGGGGTAAAAATCGGGCGGATCAGATCGGAGTAATCGCTTTCGTCGGAAGTGAGAAAAATCCATTCCGATTCCGTTCCCAACAAAATTGGAAAAAATCAGAAATTTTCAAATCGGAATTGGCGGAAATCGGACAACTCCAATTTTTTTCTCACTTGAAATATAAATGTATAATAATATTTAAATTATAACTTATAAGTGCAATTTTCGGGAAAAAAATGGAATTTTTGGAAATTGAAATCGGAATCTCATATATATTCCAAATTCAATCAAAAAATTCGGAATCGGATTTTTGGGTTGGAATGAAAAATTTGTTCCAAAATTGGAAATATTCGGATCTAAATCGGCGGGAATCGAAAATCCCGTTCCAAATTTCCACCCATAATCAAGACTAACGAAAAAATAATTGAAAACAGACAGTGAAAGGTTAAAGGGTAGACAATTCAAAGGGAAAGTGTAGCTTCTCAGAAGTTTCTCTTTACATGTGAAGCTGAAATTAAAAGCTACAATATATAAGTGGCAATCAAACTCAGAAAGAAAAACTCCATTAATGGAAGAATCAAAAGTGATTGTGCATGGATTTTGGGCAAGTGCTTATGTATATAGAGTGATATGGGCATTGAAACTAAAGGGTGTCAAGTATGATTACATAGAAGAAGACTTTTCCAATAAAAGTCAATCTCTTTTGGAGTACAATCCGGTCCACAAGAAGGTTCCGGTGCTCGTTCATGGCGGAAGGCCGGTGGTGGAGTCGTCGGTGATACTCGAGTACATCGAAGAAACGTGGTCCGATGACCCTCTTACCTCGTTACTCCCTTCGGATGCTTACGAGAGATCCGTGGCTCGTTTTTGGATTGATTTCGGACAACATGTGGTAAGAGTGTTTTTCATTTATTACGATCTGATCTGTCTGATTTTGAATGAACACACTGTTTTTCAAATAACTGTAAATTTAGAAATAATTTTGATTTTTTTCATCTACATATGTTTGATTGAATTCATCATCACTAGGGGTGAAATCGGAGTTTTCAGACCGTATTTAGCATTTTTATAGAATTTTCAATTTTTTCGGGAGTGGAAAACTAAATCAAATCCGTTCTAAGAAAAAAAAAACCCCAGAAAAATCAGAAATCGCAATTTCGAAAAATGGAATGAAAAAAATTGTTCCAAAATCGGAAATTTTTGGATAAAGATGGAGCAGAGCAATACGGAAATTCCAACTTTGTACTTTTTGGAGAATAATCGGAATTCTCGAAAATTAGAATCATATTCTAATATGTATTACAATTCTGTTCCAAAAAAAATCGGAAAAAACATTTCAAAACTTTCGGAATTCAGAATGGTTGTTTTAAAATCAGAAAATTTCGGATCATAATCGATTTCCAATTTCCACCCATAATATTCATCACTAACAATTACGGTTCAATTTTGGTGATTTATGCAGAGTCTCACACTTTTTGCATTCTTCCTATCTTCCGACGAGAATAAAGAAACAACATAAAAAAAAGCACGGGAAACACTCGAAATTATTCAAGATCAGGCACTAGGAGGTAAGAAATTCTTTGATGGAAACAGACTCGGATTGGTCGACTTATCGTACGGGTGGCTGGCCCACTGGCTCGAGCCAATACAAGAACTTGTCGGGGTGAAGGTTCTAGAACCAAACACTCTGCCTAGGTTGTACCAATGGACCATCGATTTCAAACACGAGCCTGTTATTAAGGATAATCTTCCTGACAGCAAGGCTTTGTTGGAACACACCACAAGGCAAAGGAAGAAGTTTACATCTCCCGAGAACAATTAGTTATAACCGTAATAGCCAAAAAAAGAGAGTTAAGTATACGATATTTACGCTTGGAGACGACTATAATAAAAGGCAATCAATGTTTATGCTTGATAATATGAAGCATATAAAAAGACAATACTTTTTAAGCAAAGCTTGTTATTTACAATGGATTTACACTTTACAGGCTTCGTTTTTTGTTGTTCTGTCTGTGTTTGCTGGTTGGTATCGTCCACGACAAGATATCTTCAAGTCGTTTCATCGAATGCCATCACCTAGAAATTTCAAATATTAATTAATTAAATGCAAACCGGGTAAATTCGTAAAATATGGAAAAAAGGATCGATCAACCGAGCATTATTACCTTGCCACAAACTGGGCAGTTTTCGCTTCTTTCCATCCACTCGTATATACAACCAAGATGGAAATGGTGAGAACATTTTGTAATTATTTTCGGGTTTTCCGTAATATATTCTGCAAAATAAGATGCATCAGATAACGAAGAAAAAAAAATCAAAATTCATCATAATAAAAAATATAAAAACACCTTCAAGACACGTAGGGCAGACATCTTCATCGTCATAAGAAGTATAAATATGAGCATATCCAGTAGGACCAGTACTAGTTTTCCCTGTCGAGAGCTTAAGCGGAGATTTCGAATGGCATTCTTGTGATTCTTCCTCGCGTGCGAACTCGACCCATTTACCTTTGCTGCTAAAAGATTCCGGTTGCTCTTCGGCGGCACCTTCAGTTGCTCTCAGTAGCTCTGTTTCTTCGTGCGAATGGCTCGACGATTTATCCCTTCTCGAGACCAATCCGTCGCGGTGGGAGGAAAAATATCTGGGGTCCGCATCGTAAGGAAGAGGCCTAGGTGGCGGGCGAAACATGTCGACTAGTGAGTTATCGAGTGATACCATAGCGTTTAAAGATGCTGCTCCTTGTGTGGATGAAGGCAACGCATATTCTTCTCCTCTACGAAACATCGACGCATACTGCACAATGCAATATTTACTATAATCACATCTTTTTTTTCCCATTCAACTGACGTACGAGTATATAGTTAAATTTCTAAACAACCTGATAATCTTGATCCCCCTAGTAAAATTTGCTGGAGAGTGAATTCTCGTCTAGATATACCAATCATAAGGTTTTTTTTTTTTTTTTTTTATATATCAACATCGAAGAAGTTCGAGCTTAAACTAAAATGCACGTGAGATTACAAACGATTTTAAGATTTTTGAAAAATACCGATGAAGAAAGTAAGGTTAACATAGCGTACCACATGCAAGAAGTTCTGAACAAAGCAACGAAGGAATACGCAATTCCTATAAACCGAGCTGTTTGGATTAGCAAAATCTTCACAGTCATCCCTCAAACAGCAACAAGCCGCACCCATGGTTATATAACAGTGATGGTAGCCTAATTTAATCGTAAAATGCCTGCCCAATTTAACCACTTTCTTTCCCCCCTCAATATCTCGAGAAAACCCTTATTTGATGACACGAACACTAAAACATCGAATACCAAAGGCTTGAATATAATTTAAATGATAATGATAACGAGAGAGGTGGGGTCCCCAAGTATGCGAACCAGCAACCTCTCTCCACGAAAGAAAGAAGACCCGAAGGCCTTTTTCTTATCGCACGAGACCTCGAAAACAGTAATAATCACCTGAAAAAATCAAAATAAATTGAATGATTAGAAATTGAAGGTAAATAAAAAAAAGTAAGATTTATATATGATCGAGTCTAATATGAAAAAAAAAAAATTGTTTTTTTTTGGATAAGACAGCATCTAATCATCAATTGAACACCGATAAATACCTAATACGAAATTCAGAAAGTAAAAAAAAAAAAAAAAAGTAATGAAAATTGAAAAAAACAAATATTTTCATCTCTTTAGAATCAAGCAATGGATAATCACCTAAAAATAAATCGCAAAAAACATCAACGATTGATGAAATTCCCCGGGAAACACACGAAACAAATTCAATTGATTAATCAAACGGAGAAATCGTGTTACGGATTACAGACTCTTAACTCAATCAAATTCAATTCAGAGTAAAGAGAGCAAATTTAAAAATTAAATTAAATTAATGCAGCAGAACAAAGAATCGGCGGAATCGGCAGAATAACAAACAGGAAAAAAAATGATTTACCAATCTAACTAAGAGAGATGATCCTGGAGAGAGGGGAGAACAGAATTCCGAGGTCAATTCTTTCAGAGATGGTGCTTCTGTATTTCTGCAAAAATATTATTATTTTTATTTTTTTTCCTCCGTGTGTATGTGTTTATATGTGTAGAAGATGACGAAAATTAGGGGCTTCTATTTGTTTCTATTGATTATTATAAAATTAAATTTAATAAATAATAAATAATAAATAAATAAATAAATAAAGAAGCGCGGAGTTAAAGCGGCACGCTTCTCCGTGTCCGCCTGTCCGGTTGTAGGACATAACTTTCTTTTGTAAGTTAGTGAATTAATTTATTTTATATTAATAATATTAATTAACAATAATAAATATAATTATTGTTTATTATTGTTATTAAGTAACCAACCCTCGTTTTGTGGCTGTCAGGATGGTAGTGGACCCGGACCTGGTGCCCAGAACAAACCTTATTTGAGTTGAACAGACAAACCCTCATTGAAGTTGAATTCCCACGGCTGCCAAAATTCAACACCTTGCACCAATTTATTACATCCGGAATCAGTTGAGCTATTAAGTTTTGTAATAAGTCGTTGGTCTTCACATTTATAATTGATTCGTCCCTACCAATGGGCCCTGGCCCAATACCTAATCTATAGAAAAAACACATTGAAAGTTGCAGCCACTCCAATTTTCTTTTCAATAATTGATTAGATGTTTGAAATAAATTTAGCCGAACGGACCCGTATTGAGTGTTGTTTTTGTAAAATTGAATAAATATATTCCCCAATAATCAATACAATTTGATAAATTTCTTAATTAGTAGTATATACATCATCAGCCTTTTAAACAAATAAAAGCCCAATCGGTCATAAAACAAACAAAGAAAAGCCCAAAAGTTAAAAGAAAAGTCGGTTAAGTAAATCGGAAAAAAAAAAAATTCAATAAAAACTGTCTAAATTCCTATTGGTCGATCAAATGCCACGGTGGCGATTAGTTCCTTTGAGATTAAGCTAAGTCGAAGTTTGCATCTCCAATTTTAGCCCACATTCCCCACTCTAAACCCTTTCCTCGGATAATTCTTCACCCTCTTTCTTTTCACCTTTTTTTTCGTGATTTGTTCGCTGTAATTCTGTTCAAATTGGCCGATTTCAGTGGCGAGAGAGCTTGCTTCTGCTCTCGGATCAATCATCTAAATGACCGTTTGTTGATCGGCGCAGCTCTACGCCTCTTACCGGAGTTTCATGGCGGATGAGATCGCCGTTCTCGTCGCGGCTGCATCCTCCGATGATTTCGCTCAGCAGCTCCGCTCTGATGCGCTGGCGCCTGTGTTCAGGCTAGGGTTTCAGAAACTCTACTCAATCCTCAGGCAATCCGTCAAACCAGTGGATGTTGATGTTGATATTGATAGTGGCGGTGGGAATAGTAAACCTGGCGGCAGTAAATTAGGGCTGGAGGATTGGGACCAAGCTCAGATTCATGCATTGGCTTGTGTCTCAGTTGCTGTTGTCAAAGGCATCCGATCCCTATCGAGTATGTTTGTATTATGTTTTTTTTTGCTTCGGTTGTTTGTGGTAATGATTGATTAGTTTGCGGGTTTATGTGGATCATTGAGTTTGTGGTTGGTTATGTGGGCAGTTGACCAAGTCGAACCAGTTGCTGTGGCCGTGGTCCAGCAGTCGATTGAGTTTGCTTTGTGTTATTTGGAGAAATGCATTCGGAAGAGTGATGATTCAACTCTACAGGTTTGTGATTACTTGCTTGAATACTGAAGAGTCATGTATTTATAATGATGCGCGAGTCTTTTTGTTCAATTAGTAGATTACTGGTTAATGTTTTCCCAGTACAGATTCACTTTCTATTTCGGGCTTAATTTTTTAATTGCTCGGTTATGGTTGTAGTCGTAGAATCGCACGTTGAGTATGTTTTGCTTTAATTACTTGCTATTTGCAAAATAACAGCCCAATTGCCTATTGCTTTTGATTACTCACGTCATCTCTTAAGCTCTCCTTATTTATTTCAAATTATGTTTGATTGTTGTTGCCTCAATTTTAAGCAATTGGTGACAAGTTAAGATGGATATATGTACCCAAGAAAAAGTTGGTATCGTCCTTAAGAAATTATATATTCAATTCTAGTTGTAGATAAAATACCTTAGGAATGAAAATGGGTTAATTTTTTAGGCAATTTAGGGCTGCATTAGAGTTCTTAGTTCTTATTGGCTCATGTAGAGGTTCCATTAGGGATAATATGGGTTAATTTCGTTTGTTGTTTGCTTACTGCTCCATTTGCAAAGAAATCCATATATCAACCTTTTATATCATGTTTGCTAGTATGTCTGGAGTGATACTGCTTATGTGTCTTAGCTAACGCCTCTCTCTCTTTCAGAATGCTATGTTACAACTATTAGAGCTGTTGCTAGTGGATGGCGCACACATAGACATTTCACAGCCGTGTTCAACGAGTATTCCTGTGGACTTGTTGTCTCCTGTTGCTGATAAAGATGATGCTGTTCAGTGGCAGGGCAATGTTAAGTGCATGCATCAAGGTATTACTTGAACAGTTGAAAGTTTTCGCTATATCCTCTTCGCTGTCTTGGTTATGCAACTCCCTCAATCTGTTGTTTTTGTTTCTTTGTGAAGGATCCATGTGCTCTCAGGAAAAGGAAGCAGATGATCAACTGTTAATGACATTTATGTCTGAATGTGTGCAAGTTGATATTGTAAATCCTGTTATGACTGGTCTGTTTCCCCCCTCCAATGTCAATAAGCTGAGTACTCTTGCTCAGCATTGGGCTATTGTTCATTTAGGATTCATTCATCGTCTTATCCGACTTTGCAAAGAACTTCTAGAACTTCCAGTGTCATATGATGAGAAACAAGCATGTCTCAACCTGCGGCGAAGATTGTCAACTTGTGTGAGAGTACTCAAGTTACTGGGGAGTCTTACAAAAGAGAATTCATCTGTTGGTTCTGACAAAGTGTTGTTGCAATCTACTGCTTCGTTAATCGATATAATGCCTATCTTGTTCAGAACTTGCGTTGAGTTTGTAAATAATAATTCTGTGGTCGAAAGTAGCTATGAGAGCCTCGCTGTGCACTTCTTGGAAGAATTTTTTCAAGTAATGCAAGCAACTTTCTGCAAGAATTACGTGTTTCAGAATATCCGAGCATGCGCAGTGGCATCTATCTTGCACAATCTGAATTCTGATGTCTGGAGGTTTGATATATCTGTTTCCAGTCATAAAGCTCCCTTGGCGTATTTCCCTCGGGTGGTTATTTTTGCGCTGAAACTCATTTCGGATATCAAGGATCAGACCCGTCACGTTTTTGAGTTTGATGATCTGAATACAAAGGATACCGAGAGTCATTTAGAGCTTGATTCCCCTTCATGCCATGTTTGTAACAAGAAAGTATTCTTGCTGAAAAAGTATACCGTGGAGGAATTATTTGGAATGATATTTCCTTCATCAGTTCAATGGCTAGACAATGTAATGCATCTAATTAATTTCCTTCACTATGAGGGCATTAAATTAAGGCCAATACTGGAAAGATCATTTTCAAGTGGGACAAAAGCATCTGGTATCTCTGAAGTAGAAACCATTGTTTGCCATGAAGATGAAGCCTTGTTCGGGGATCTTTTTTCTGAGGGGGGTCGCTCTGTTGGATCTGCTGACGGATGTGAACAATCTAATGTTGCTGCTATTTCCAGTTTTAGCAATATGCCATTTCAGGCGGCAGCTGAATTACTCAATTTTCTGAGAACATGTGTTTTTTCTCCTCAGTGGCACCCTTCGATGTATCAAGATGCACGCAAAAAGCTTAGTGGCGACCATATTGATCTTTTGCTCTCGATAGTTAAATGCCCGGGTTGTTTTCCTGAAGATAGGGTTTCTGATAATAGTCCAACTTTGCATGAAGAGAGGAAGTTTGGGCACTTGCATCAATTTTGCTTTGAACTATTGCAGAAACTCGTTATGCTCCGAGTTTTCTCTGAATCTCTTGAAGAGTCACTTGCGGAGAAAATACTGACGGTTGAGAATGGTGCTCATATGTACAACGATCAGATGCTTGCTTTGCTTGCCCATATACTTGTGTCCCGAGTGGGTTCAGCTGGTTCTACATTAAGAACCAAAATGTATCAGATGTTTGTAAAATTTATCCATCAGAAGGCAAAAACTGTCTGCTCAGTGTGTCCTGGTCTGAAGGAGATTGTTGAAACTCTTCCTTCTCTATTTCACATGGAAATACTTTTTATGGCTTTCCATTGTTCATCGGAAGAGGAAAAGGCTGTACTGGCGAATGAAATACTTTTGTCACTGAAAACGATCGATATACCCTCTACTGGTTCCGATGTTGTGCAGTTGTCATGCTGGGCCTTGCTGATTTCAAGGTTGATTTTATTACTTCGTCACATGATATTTCACCCGCGTTCATGTCCGTCGTTGCTGCTTTTGGACTTCAGAATCAATTTGAGGGAAGCCTCTGAGATAAGCTTGCCTAATTGTGCCAACTATCTATCATCGTGGCCAGCCATTTTGCTGGAGGACACGACGGATTCAAAAGAAACATCTGCAAACATTAGTTTGCTTAATCAGTTGGTCGATATTGCCCCCCTTCCAGCTTCCTTATGTAGAGATTCTCCTACAGGTGATTTCTTCGGTTTGAATCAGGAGGAGATCAGTGCCTGTTTTTCACGCATTCTGGGATTTTGGAACGGTAAAAAAGCTGCCAGTACAGATGATCTGATTCTTGAACGGTATCTTTTTGTGCTTTGCTGGGATATTTCAATTGAGGGATTTTCTTCAGAACATTGGCGAGTTCTCTTAAGTGGCCTTGAAGTTCCTGATATCTTGGACATGAAGAATTTTCTTTATATTTCTCATTCTATCTTATCTCAGCATGCTGCTAGCAATGAATGCATTGGCATTGCAGATCTCGTTTTGGGTTTGCTTCATCATTTGCATGGTGCACTTGCGTGTGGAGATGCTGGTGACATTGGCTGGGACTTTTTTAGGATCGGTTCCTGGGTTTCTTTTGTTCTCTCCTTACTAAATACAGGCAACCAGGGCTACAATAATAACAATTCTCTCTCAATAGTGGCTCCCAGCCAGCAAGAATACACTGCAGGGGATGCTAAGTTCTTGGCATTGACCAAATGTCTTGCTTACAACTCTTTCAATGCTGATCAGGTTGCAATACTAATCAAATTATTATCATCTTTGTTGAAGAGATACTTAGCGGTGTACCAGAGAGCTGTAGCTTCACTTTTTGGAAGTGGGCGTCACTCTGCTGACAAGTACTTTCCTCTGTTGCTTCTTGAGTATACTGGTTCGGACAACAGTATGCAGGATGAGTTCACTGAGAAGATGGGGATCAAACCCTGCCTGCTGGGCTCTCTTTACGAGCTTCCATCGAAGTTAACCAAAATTGTTGAAACTTCTGCTCTGGGAATTCGATCTAAAATTGTTTGGCAAGTTGCATTGCATGGATTTCCAATTGATTATCAACTACCAAGTGAAATTTTATCATCCTGCATCCTCAGCATACAGGCAATTGTTGTTAATCTATGTGGAGTTCTTGAGATGAATGTTTCCAGTGGGAGCAGTTGGGAAGAAAAAGAGGTAATGGGTGAGATTCTCGAGTCAATTTTGACGATCAAATGCAACAAGGTCTTTGAAAACCTTGAGGGTCAATGTGAAATTATAAGCCAAAGCTTGAAATTGGGCAGTGAAGGATCTGATTATAGCAGCTTATTCATTATGAAGCGAATGGAAGAATTCCTGCAAAACAAAGAAGAGGATGTCAACAGAAGTATCCATGAATGCGTAGTTGTGAAAATGGTTGATTTGGCTAACAGCCTGAAGGGGGATACCCAAAGAGCTTCCATTTTCAAATTTTTCCTCTCCACAGAGGATATTTCTGAGAAGACTAAGAACTTTTATGGTTCCCAGCGAGGGGATATATTAGTTCTGATTGATGCTCTCGATTACTGCCATTCTCAATCTGTTAATGTGAGGGTTCTCAACTTCTTTACGGATCTTTTATCTGGGGAATATCCTGAAGTGAAACTGAAGTTGCAGATGAAGTTTGTTGGCATGGATATGGGTTCCCTATTAAAGTGGGTGGAAATGAGGTTGTTGGGATCTATACCAGACACAGAGAACGGTGTCAGTGTTAAAGAATCTTCAGTTTCTTTAAGAGACTCCACCATAAACTTCCTCAGGTGTCTTTTGACTCCCACTTCTGGATTCGAAATACAAGATCTGCACTCTCATTTACATCAAGCCATGCTTCTTTCCCTGGACAATGCATTTTTACTATATGATATAAATACAGCAAGAAGTTACTTCAATTTCATTGTCCAACTTTCCAAGGGGGAAATGTTAATCAAGTCACTACTACAGAAGACTATCATGTTGATGGAGAAGCTTGCTGGTGATGGACACTTGCTTCAAGGGCTGAAGTATCTTTTTGGATTCCTTGCGGCGACTGTAAGTGATTGTGTATCCCCGAGTTGCATTATGGAAAAGTCTTCTGGAAAGATTGTTGCTAGCTCCGGTCCCGTGTTAGGCCCATTGTCTTCCAGGACTCTTGGTTCAAGAAAAGATGCTGATGTTTTGGTTTCATCGGCTGATCGAGGGTTGACACCTTTTGATTGTGATGCTACTTCTGTTGATGACGATGAAGATGATGGAACATCTGATGGCGAGTTAGGGAGCATGGATAAGGATGAGGAGGAGGATAGCAACAGTGAGAAGGCACTGGCATCAAAAGTTTGTACATTTACATCTAGTGGCAGCAATTTTATGGAACAGCACTGGTACTTCTGTTATACATGTGATCTCACAGTCTCCAAAGGCTGCTGTTCAGTCTGTGCAAAAGTTTGCCATCGAGGCCATCGTGTTGTGTACTCACGCTCTAGTCGGTTTTTCTGTGACTGTGGCGCCGGAGGTGTTCGAGGCAGCAGTTGTCAGTGTCTGAAACCTCGAAAATTCACTGGAACTAATAGCGCACCCTCTCACAGTGCTGGCAACTTCCAGTCCTTTCTCTCTCTTACAGAGAATAGCAATCAGCTGCCTGAAAGTGATTCAGATATTGACGAGGATACATCTACAGATCTGGATAACTCTACCCGATTAGCTCTTCCGAAAGAGGTCCAAGAGAGGATGGCACTGCTGCTTAATGAGCTGGAGGTTGAAGGGCGTATGCTAGGAGTTTGTGCATCTTTATTGCCCCATATTACTGGAAGAAGAGACTCCCACATGATGGGAGATAGGGAAGTTACCTTGTCTGAAGACAAAGTGCTCCACTACGGTAATGATCTTCTACAGTTGAAGAAGGCATATAAAAGTGGGTCATTAGATTTGAAGATAAAAGCAGATTATTCAAACGCGAAGGAACTCAAATCTCACTTGGCAAGTGGATCTCTCATCAAATCTTTACTTACTGTCAGTGCCCGAGGTCGATTGGCAGTTGGAGAAGGTGATAAAGTAGCCATATTTGATGTGGGGCAGTTGATTGGGCAAGCCACTATTGCTCCTGTGACGGCGGATAAGACTAATGTGAAGCCTCTTTCTAAGAACGTTGTTCGCTTTGAGATCGTGCATCTCCTTTTCAATTCACTTGTAGAGAATTACTTGGTTGTCGCAGGCTATGATGATTGTCAGGTCCTTACAGTTAATCATCGAGGTGAGGTGATCGATCGATTATCTATTGAACTTGCTCTACAAGGCGCATATATAAGACGTGTGGAATGGGTGCCAGGTTCTCAGGTTCAGTTGATGGTAGTCACAAATAGATTTGTCAAAATATATGATCTGTCTCAAGACAATATCAGTCCCTTGCACTATATAACAATGCCTGATGATGTGATTGTGGATGCAACTCTTTTGGTTGCTTCCCATGGTAGAATTTTTCTCGTTGTCCTGTCAGAGTCCGGCATCCTATACAAGTTGGAGTTATCGGTGAAAGCAAATGTTGGGAGCAGGCCCTTGAAAGAAGTCATTCAAGTAGAGGGCAGAAATACTCAGGCAAAGGGATCCTCGCTATATTTTTTGGCTACTCACAAATTACTCTTTCTGTCCTACCAAGATGGGAGTACTTTGATTGGCCGCCTTAATCCAGATGTAACATCTGTGGTAGAAGTGTCTGCTGTGTATGATAATGACTTGAATGGTAAGCTACGGCCAGCTGGTTTGCATCATTGGAAAGAGTTACTGGGTGGCACTGGGCTGTTTGTGTGCTATTCTAATCAAAAATCAAATGGGATACTTGCCATCTCTTTGGGACAACATGAAGTGCTTGCACAGAACTTGCGACAAACTGGGGGTTCAACCTCACCTCTGGTTGGGGTTACTGCTTATAGGCCTTTGTCAAAAGACAAAATCCACTGTCTTATTTTGCATGACGATGGAAGCCTCCAGATTTACTCTCACATCCCAGCTGGGGTGGACACTGGTGTAAATGTAATGGCAGACAAGGTTAAGAAATTGGGTAGTGGTATTTTAAAGAATAAAGCCTATGGGGGCATTAAACCAGAATTTCCCCTCGACTTTTTCGAGAAAACTGTCTGCGTTACACAAGACGTGAAATTTAGTGGTGATGCCATTAGGAATAACGATTCTGAGGGGGCGAAGCAAACTTTGGCATCTGAAGACGGGTTTCTAGAGGGACCTAACCCTGCTGGATTCAAGGTATTGTTCATTTTTCCTTTAGATGAAGTTCTGTATCTTCTATATGATCATTTTATTATCCTTTGATATTCTGTCTAAACATGTCTCTTGTTTACCCGTATTATGCTCGTTTGCCCGCCCCCTTCTCTATATCCGTTTCTATAATCCACCTATGTAATGTATATGCCTCCAGGATCAAGTGTACTAGTTTCGTTGAGCATTTTGAATCTATTCCTTAGATGAGAAATTTTAAATTAGCCAATTTGATGATACTGAGTGTGACTGAGATAGCCGGAGACTTGGTTCTTTCGTTCCTTTTTTATGAGAAAACTATTTATTTTCTAGCTTCTAACTTTTGCATAGTTGTAAATGCACACAAATTAATTTAGAAAGGGTTGCTCTTTTACGTTGCTCGTTTTCAGAATGCCTTTTGGTCTGGAAAATAGCTAAAGCAATCTGACATGTTCATGATTTTTTTTAAAGTGGGAAAATGTTGATGGTAATACATCATTGTCTCGTATACACAGTTATTTGAAATTTAGGTTGTGTATCGATGGAGTGACTACCCTTTCATAATTGGTTATCGAAATTTTTTCTACTGATTAAACTATATTTTATTATGTTTGTATAATAATCTGTTTAGTTGTTGGTTCTAATTTGTGTCTCTGGTGCATTTTGGTTGTATCATGGTTTGATATTTGAAGTTCATTATGTTATCCAAAGCATCCCGAATAACACCACCTTTGTTCTTTTTTTTTTTTTCCTTTCCTCAGATTACAGTGGCCAATTCGAATCCTGATATTGTCATGGTTGGTTTCCGCTTGCATGTTGGTAACACATCAGCTAGTCATATTCCCTCGGAAGTTACAATTTTCCAGAGAGTGATAAAATTAGATGAAGGAACGCGATCTTGGTATGATGTACCCTTCACTGTGGCTGAATCACTCCTAGCTGATGAGGAATTCACAATTTCTATTGGCCGAACCTTCAGCGGATCTGCTTTGCCCAGAATAGACTCTTTAGAAGTATATGGCCGAGCAAAGGATGAATTTGGTTGGAAAGAGAAGATGGATGCAATTCTAGATATGGAAGCTCGAGTGGTTGGTTGTAATTCGTGGTCCACAGGTTCAGCAAGAAAGTCTCGGGCAGCACAATCTGCTTCAGTAGAGGAGCAGGTGGTGGCTGATGGACTCAGGCTCCTGTCCAGAATCTATTCGTTATGTAAATCTCAGGGATTCTCAAAAATTGAAGAAGTTACGGAGTGGAGCAATCTTAAATTTAAGCAAGTGCTGGAAACAGTTTTTGAAAGTGACAGGGAGCCTTTGCTACAGGCTGCTGCCAGCCGTGTTCTGCAAGCTGTTTTCCCTAGACGAGAGATCTATTACCAAGTAAGTTGATACTCATGGTTTCACACTTACACTTTATGATCTTCTAAATTGATGTTTGAGTTCTTGATTTTAATTGAAGTTGTCAATTTGTATGATTTCTCTAGTATAATGTTGAGATTTTGCTTAGGTGAAAGATACCATGCGTCTCAATGGGGTAGTGAAATCTACAGTCATGCTCTCGTCGAAGTTGGGAATGGGGGAGCTTACTGCAGGGTGGATAATTGAGGAGTTTACAGCACAGATGCGTGCTGTTTCTAAGATAGCTCTGCATCGTCGCTCAAACTTGGCCAATTTCCTCGAGACTAATGGTAGTGTTTCTTATCAACTGAAAATTTGATTAGCATGACTGTGAGATTCTAAAATGTTGGCACTGGCATATTTATGCTTGCATTGTGGTTTTGGGAAATTTAAATGGAAATCTAATAAATAAAAAATAATTAGTTTTTTTTTCTGTTCACATATGCACGGTATAATTTCTGCACATTTTCTGATCATCTAAGTAGCTTGTCATGCAGTTCCATTTTTTAAAATTGTACTTGTAGTGTTCTTTGCTGATTATGCTTCTAATTGTGGTCTTTAGTCACAGAGAGTACTGGCTTTTCTATTTGAGGAACTTGTTGGCTCTTATATATTTTTGTTTGTATTGCATGTTTTTGACAATATGTAGGTTCTGACGTAGTTGATGGACTTATGCAAGTACTATGGGGAATTTTGGATATAGAGCAGCCAGACACACAAACGATGAACAACATTGTCATTTCATCTGTGGAACTTATTTATTGTTATGCAGAGTGTCTGGCAATGCAGGGAACAAATGCGGTAAAGCAATCAGTAGCACCTGCTGTTATTTTATTGAAAAAACTTCTTTTCTCGACTGATGAGGCTGTTCAAACTTCCAGCAGGTAAATACAAGAAAGATCACAAAATGAAATAAACCTTTCCATATTGAAAGTGCACTTACACTTGCTGCTTTCTTTTCAGCTTGGCTATATCTTCTAGATTTCTCCAGGTTCCTTTTCCAAAGCAGACGATGTTAGGTGCAGATGACGTGATGGAGAGTGCAACATCTGTTCCCCTTCGTGCTGATGTTGCAAGTGCAACTAGTGGGAATAATCCTGTTATGGTAGAAGAAGATTCCATTACTTCATCTGTACAGTACTGTTGTGATGGTTGCTCAACTGTTCCTATACTGAGGCGAAGATGGCACTGTACTGTTTGCCCTGATTTTGATTTATGTGAAGCATGTCATGAAGTCTTGGATGCGGAAAGACTTCCTCCTCCACATTCTAGAGATCATCCAATGACAGCAATCCCAATTGAAGTAGAGACATTCAATGGAGATGGCAATGAGATTCACCTTTCCACTGATGATTTAGGTGACTCAAGTTTGTTTCCAATTGCTGCTGATGCAAATGCGCAAAATCTGGCTCCATCAATCCATGAGTTGGAGCCTAATGAGACTGGACAGTTTCCAACTTCAGCGGTTGACCCTGTTACTATTTCTGCCTCTAAAAGGGCTGTCAATTCGTTACTTCTTTCTGAGCTCCTTGAACAACTAACAGGATGGATGGAGACCACCTCTGGAGTGCAGGCTATTCCTGTGATGCAGCTTGTCTACAGATTGTCATCAGCTATTGGTGGTCCTTTTGTTGATAATACCGAGATTGATAGCTTAAATTTGGAGAAACTGATTAAATGGTTTGTAAGTGAGATGAAAGTTGATAAGCCTTTTGATGCCCGAACCCGTTCATCTTTTGGGGAAGTTGTGATCCTGATCTTCATGTTCTTCACCCTTATGCTGCGTAACTGGAACCAACCAGGTAGTGATGTTACGACATCAAAATCTGGTGGGGCAACAGACGCACAGGACAAGACAACCAACCAAATCCCATTTTCCATGTCATTATCCAGTTCATCTACATCTGATTGCCAAGAGAAGAGTGACTCCGCTTGTCTGCATAGAGCTTGCAGCTTTCTGAGGCAGCAGATTTTCGTTAATTACCTTATGGACATACTGCAACAGCTTGTCCACGTGTTTAAGTCCCCTTCTGTCAGTGCTGAAACCCATGGCCTGAACCCTGGTTCTGGTTGCGGTGCACTATTAACAGTTCGACGAGAACTTCCAGCTGGTAATTTTTCACCATTTTTCTCAGATGCGTATGCCAAATCACATCGATCAGATCTGTTTGCTGACTACCACAGACTGTTACTTGAGAACACTTTTCGGTTGATTTACTGTTTAATTCGACCTGAAAAGCATGACAAGAGTGGAGAGAAAGAGAAGGCGTATAAAATTCATTCTGGTAAGGATTTGAAGCTTGATGGGTATCAGGATGTTCTTTGCAGTTACATCAACAATCAACATACAAGTTTTGTGAGGAGGTATGCCAGGCGGCTGTTTCTGCATATTTGTGGCAGTAAGACACATTATTACAGTGTCCGAGACTCTTGGCAGTTTTCAAGTGAATTTAAGAAGCTTTATAAACACATAAACAAGTCTGGTGGATTTCAAGGTTCTGTCTCATATGAAAGAAGTGTGAAAATAGTGAAATGCCTCTCCACCATAGCTGAAGTATCCGCAGCAAGGCCTAGAAACTGGCAAAAATATTGCTTGAGACATGGTGATGTCTTACCCTTCCTCATGAATGGAGTTTTCTCCTTTGGAGAAGAATGTGTTGTTCAAACTCTGAAACTTTTGAATTTGGCCTTTTATACTGGAAAGGATACTAATCACTCTTCGCATAAGACTGAAGGTGGAGATGGAGGTACATGTTCAAATAAGTCTGGGCCACAATCTATTGAAGCTAAAAAGAAGAAGAAAGGTGAAGAAGGAAGTGAATCGTCTGCGGAGAAATCTTACATGGATATGGAACAGGTCTTAAATGTCTTTACTGACCGCAGTGATGATTGTTTGATGCAATTTATTGACACATTTTTGTTGGAATGGAATTCAAGCACTGTTCGTGGGGAATCCAAATGTTTTCTTCTTGGGGCCTGGCACCATGGGAAACAGTCGTTCAAGGAAACCCTGTTAACTATTCTCTTGCAAAAAGTGAAACACTTGCCGTTGTATGGTCAAAATGTCGTTGAGTACACAGAACTCGTGACCTACTTGCTCGGAAAATCACCAGAAAACGGCTTAAAGCCGCAGAACAGTGAAATTGTAGACAAATGCTTGACTTTTGATGTGGTTAAATGCATTTTTGAGACACTTCATTCACAAAATGAGCTTTTGGCAAACCATCCCAATTCTCGCATCTATAACACTTTGAGTGGTTTGGTGGAATTTGATGGCTATTATCTTGAGAGTGAGCCTTGTGTTGCCTGCAGCTCTCCCGAGGTCCCATATAGTCGGATGAAGCTGGAAAGTCTGAAGTCAGAAACCAAGTTCACAGATAATCGTATTATTGTGAAGTGCACTGGTAGCTACACCATCCAGAGTGTGACGATGAATGTCCATGATGCCCGTAAATCTAAATCAGTGAAAGTGCTGAATCTTTATTACAACAACCGGCCTGTTGCTGATTTGTCGGAGTTGAAAAATAATTGGTCCTTGTGGAAGCGAGCGAAGATCTGCCATCTTGCTTTCAATCAGACAGAGCTGAAAGTGGATTTCCCTATTCCTATAACAGCATGTAACTTTATGATTGAGTTGGATTCTTTCTATGAAAATCTTCAGGCATTATCCCTTGAACCACTGCAGTGTCCACGTTGTAGTCGACCTGTGACTGACAAACATGGAATTTGTGGCAACTGTCATGAGAATGCATATCAATGCCGGCAATGCCGAAACATTAATTATGAAAATCTCGACTCCTTTTTATGCAATGAGTGTGGATACAGTAAATATGGTCGTTTCGAATTCAATTTCATGGCCAAGCCAAGCTTTACTTTTGACAGCATGGAAAATGATGAAGATATGAAAAGAGGACTAGCTGCAATAGAATCTGAATCAGAAAATGCTCATCGGCGGTACCAACAGCTTTTGGGTTTCAAGAAACCTTTACTGAAGATTGTCTCAAGCATTGGCGAGAATGAAATGGATTCTCAGCAGAAGGATTCTGTACAGCAGATGATGGTGTCATTACCTGGTCCTTCGTGCAAGATCAACCGTAAAATTGCCCTTCTTGGCGTACTGTATGGTGAGAAATGCAGAGCAGCATTCGATTCTGTGAGTAAAAGTGTTCAGACTCTTCAAGGTCTCAGACGGGTATTATTGAATTATTTGCATCAAAAGCATTCTGATAATCTTGCTGCAGCCTCTAGATTTGTTGTCTTGCGGTCTCCTAATAGCTGTTATGGCTGTGCTAGTACATTTGTTACCCAGTGTCTTGAGATATTACAAGTGCTGTCAAAACATCCGAGTTCGAAGAAGCAACTTGTTGCTTCTGGCATTCTGCGTGAGTTGTTTGAGAACAATATACATCAGGGCCCAAAAACTGCTCGTGTTCAAGCCAGGGCGGCACTTTGTGCCTTCTCAGAGGCTGATGTGAATGCAGTGTCAGAATTGAACAGCTTGCTGCAAAAGAAGGTTATGTACTGTCTTGAACATCATCGCTCCATGGACATTGCTCTGGCAACACGTGAAGAACTAATGCTGCTTTCAGACGTCTGTTCCTTGACAGACGAGTTTTGGGAGTCAAGGTTGAAGATTGTCTTCCAGTTGTTATTTAAATCAATCAAACTGGGTGCCAAACATCCTGCTATATCGGAGCATGTTATTCTTCCTTGTCTGAAGATTATATCTCATGCATGTACTCCTCCTAAACCTGATGCAATAGATAAAGAGCCAGGGACTGAAAAGCCATCTCCCAATTTCACATGTAAAAGATGAAAACAGCTCATATGAATCTGGCTCTAGTGGGGCTTGCGAATGCAAGCAGGGCTGTATCAGAGTCGTTGGAGAAGAATTGGGACGGTTCTTCTAAGACTCAAGATATCCAGTTACTGAACTATTCTGAATGGGAAAAAGGAGCATCATATCTTGACTTTGTGAGACGGCAATATAAAGTTTCTCAGACAGTCAGAGTTGGCCAGAAATCTCGGCCTCATAGATATGACTATTTGGCCATGAAATATGCTCTGAGGTGGAAGCGAAGCTCTTGTAAAGAAGCTCAGAGTGAGATAAAATTGTTTGAACTCGGCTCATGGGTTACTGAACTTATATTGAGTGCTTGTTCACAATCTATAAGATCTGAGATGTGCATGTTAATAAATTTGCTTTGTGGACAAAGTTCATCAAGACGGTTTCGGTTGCTAAATCTGCTGATGTCTTTGTTACCATCTACTCTTTCTGCTGGAGAAAATGCGGCCGAATATTTTGAGTTGCTCTTTAGAATGATAGATTCAGAAGATGCTCGCATATTTTTGACTGTTCGAGGATGTTTGTCTACCATATGTAAGTTAATCATGAGGGAAGTCAATAATGTTGAGTCCTTGGAGAGAAGTCTCCATATTGATATATCTCAAGGGTTTATTCTTCATAAGCTTATAGAGCTCCTTGGGAAATTTCTGGAGGTCCCTAATATCAGATCGAGGTCAGCATTTGACTTGTTTTAATTGCAAATATTATTGATTTGTGCTTCCTGCTGACATTATTTATCCCTTTTGGCTGACAGATTTATGCGAGAACAGTGTTATCCGATGTTCTTGAGGCACTTATTGTGATCAGGGGCCTAATTGTTCAAAAGACTAAACTAATAAGTGACTGTAACCGGCTCCCTGAAGATCTTCTCGACAGTCTTCTGCTTGAGAGCAATGAGAACAAAGGGCTGTTCATACAGGCTTGTATCGGTGGCTTACAGATTCATGGAGAGGACAGAAAAGGGCGTAATTCTATGGTATGACTAATTTCTTCTGCAATTAGATACTTTGAATAATGTCTGAAATTAACACCAAACAGTATTTTTCAATAATGATGCACTAATAAAGTATGGCTTCTCGCAAGAACCTGCTATCTTTGTACATTTTATTTTAAAAGAATAACTGTGTCAGTGGTCATGTGGTAATGAGGCCAACTCCGGGGTAAATATAATTCTAATTTATGTGGGGCGCGTAAACAGTTTATCTTGGAGCAGCTCTGTAATTTGGTTTGCCCGTCGAAGCCAGAGCCTGTATATCTGTTAATACTGAACAAGGTTCATACTCAGGAGGAATTTCTTAGCGCGATCAATGACCAAGAATCCTTACTCGAGTGCTGAGCTCGGTCCTCTAAATGCGTGATGTCAAAAATAAAATCTGCCACCAGTTGGACCTCCTGGGTCTGCTTGAAGATGATTTATGGCATGGAGTTGCTTGTCGCAGGGAACATCATCTCTCTTGATTTGAGGTATTGCTCAAGTTTATGAGCAAGGTTTGGAAGAAATCAAACGGTCAATCATCAAATTCAGCACCTGGGAACAGGTGTTTATTGTCTGGCTAATGCTTGCCACCATCACCAAGAAGATGTCCTCCAATGACAGGGACTTATCGGCTTCAGG